GGCCTCCCAAAGTGCTGGGACTACAGGCTTGAGCCACCGCGCCCAGCCAATGTAACATGTTTAATAAAGTACATAAGATATGTAAAGGGCACTGATCTTAACTATAAACACTGATGAATTTGTGTACAGCCATGTGAACACCTCTGGATCCTGCTATTGAACCTGTTAGCATCTCGTAAGGTCCTCTTCCTGGTCTGTACCTCCCTGGAGGTAACCATTATTCTGATTCCTAACACCACAGATTAGTTTTGCCTGTTTTTGAGCTTCGTATATGTGGAATCATACAGGCTTTTGTATCTGGTTTCTTTCACTCAGCATAATATCTGTGAGTCATCCAAATTCTTGCATGTACCAGTGGCTTATTCTTTTTCACACAGTTTTGAATAAGTTAATACGAGTTGGTCAGAGTTTGAAAAGGCTGTGCATTTGTCTGAGAGACCAGAAAAATAAAGACCAGCAAAGCCCAGGGCTCTCCAGTACTGAGCCAGTCCACTCTGTGAATCTCTATCGTGGCAGCTGAATTCTCAGCCAAGATGGCAGCTACTGTGCCCAAGTGTCACCACTCCCCATCCCATACCCTGGGTAGACATCACAAATCCATCTTGAGCACCTTTTTTTTTTCTTTTTTTTTTTTGAGACAGCATCTCACTCTGTCACCCAGGCTGGAGTGCAGTTGCATGTTCACAGCTCACTGCAGCCTCAACTTCCCGGGCTCAAGTGATCCTCCTGCCTCAGCCTCTTGAATAGCTGGGACCATAGGTGTGTGCCACCATGTCCAGGTAATTTTTAATTATTTCTTGAGACTGGGTCTCCCTATGTTGCCCAGGCTGGTCTCAAACTCCTGGGTTCAAGCAGTCTTCCCATCTTGGCCTCCCAAAATGCTGAGATTACAGGTGCGAGCCGCCATGCCAGGCCAATCTTGGCACTTTTTTTTACAAGAATTTCTGATGCAGCCTCAAAATTCTTTTCAACCCAGAGGTCCAGGTGACTAACACTAATTGCTTGTAGTTGGTACTTGATATAGTTTGGCTGTGTCCCCACTCAAATCTCATCTTGAATTATATCTCCCATAATTCCCACTGTTGTGGGAGGGACCTGGTAGGAGATAATTAAATCATGGCAGCAGTTTCTCCCATACTGTTCTTGTGGTAGTGAATAAGTCTCATGAGATCTGATGATTTTATGAGGAGACACCCCTTTTGCTTGGCTCTCATTGTCTCTTTGCCTGCTGCCATCCATGTAAGACGGGACTTGCTCCTCCTTGCCTTCTGCCATGATTGTGAGGCTTCCCTGCCATTTGGAACTATAAGTCCAATTAAACCTCTTTCCTTTGTAGATTGCCCAGTCTCGGGTATGTCTTTCGCAATTCCAGGGCTAGATGATTCGTTCTTACTGCAGATCCCAGTAAGCTCAGCATACGATTTTTTTTTCTTAAGCTGAGAACTTCCATCCTTACATTTAAAAGAAGTACTTTACAGCTTCAGTTTGGCATATCCAAACTGCCAGCGTTACTACTCTTGCACTTTAGGCCATTATTTAGTAAAATGAGGGTTACTCGAACGAAAGCACTGAAACACCGTGACAATCCATCTGATAACTCCTAAGCTGGTAAGTGACTAACAGGTGGTAGAGGTATGTTGGACAAAGGGATGATTCACATCGCAGGTGGGATGGAACAGGATAGCATGAGATTTCATTAGGTCAATGGAAATTAAAAACTTATGAATTCTTTATTTCTGGAATTTTCTATTTAATACTGTCAGACCTTAGTTGGACAAGTGAAACTGCTGAAAGTAAAATCGCAGACAAGGGGGAGACTACCGTACTTAACTGGAGAAGATACTGCTTTGCTTCTGTGACCACAGAATTGACAGGTTGAAATTGAAAACAACTATTGCCTTCACGCTTTTAAGACAACTTCACATGATGTAAAGTTCAAGCATACCGGTATCCCATTCTAGCAATACATTTTTGAGCAGTGTTGCACACTTACTGTTATTTGTCTTACTGTTATACTACTCCTACAGAGCACAGGCCAAGAAGACTACATTTCCCACCATGCCACACGCCCTTTGACCCCAGCTAAACCAAAAAGACGCGCCGGGGAGCGCCTGAAGCCGGAAGACTATAGCCTCCCGGCATGCAGCGCGCTTCCCTCCATTAGATTTGAGGTGCGGCCGGCGCGTTGCCCACCGGGAGTTGTAGTCAGCGGCGCGTTGCCCTGACGCCGGCCGGGCCGGGCGTGGGGGCCTGTGGGAGGTGGCGCGGCCGGGCCCAGCTGCGGGGCGGAGGCGGAGGCGGAGGAGAGGCCTGCGGCGGCAGGGAGCGGCGGGGCTGGGAGCGGGCGCCGGAGCCGAGCCGAGCCGAGCCGGAGCGGGCGGCGAAGGCCGGCGCGGCGAGCAGCAACCATGTCGGTGTTCGGGAAGCTGTTCGGGGCTGGAGGGGGTAAGGCCGGCAAGGGCGGCCCGACCCCCCAGGAGGCCATCCAGCGGCTGCGGGACACGGAGGAGATGTTAAGCAAGAAACAGGAGTTCCTAGAGAAGAAAATCGAGCAGGAGCTGACGGCCGCCAAGAAGCACGGCACCAAAAACAAGCGCGGTGAGGCGGCCCGGCCCCTTCAGACTTCCCACGGGCTCCCCCCAGGATCCCTGGGCCCGGACTTCCCCCTTCGTGACTCACCTCGGGGTCTGGTCTGACCCTGGAACTCTCCGGGTCAGACTTCTTGCCGGGTCTGGGACCCCCTCTCCGACTCCCTTCAATGTCTTCGCGATCCCTGGACTTTTCCATCGTCAGACTTATTCTGCTCTCTCCTCTCACCCTCTCTCCACCCCGCCAGGCCCCTTCAGACCCAATCTCACAGCACTTTCCTCCGTCCTCACACTGTCCCTTTCTCTTCCGCCTTTTTCTGCTCCCTTTGGCCTCACCCACCTGCCTAGCTACTGCCCCTGCCTGCTCCTCGGCTCATTTCTGCCCCCATCCCAGCATTTCTGTGCTTCCTGGTCCTACCTGTGCCCTCTCCCGGCTCCTCGGTGGAATCTGTGAGCTGCCCTTGGCGTCTCCGCCATCCTCTTAACTCAGAATTCTCGTTGAAAAGCCTCCTTGGTGGAGAGAAAAGGGGACTGGGGGAGAGGAGATCCCCTGATTCCTGCTTGTTCACTTGCTAAGTGAACTTGAGCAAGTTGCTGTCCCTTTGAGGCCTCAGTTTCCCCATCCGTCAGCCAGGGTTTGGCCTCAGTTGAGGCCTAAGGTGTCTTCTAGCGTTGTGATTCACTTTTTGTTGCCTCATAGCTTGGCCTTACCAAAGTTTCCCGTGGCGCAAGCCTTCACCCCGTGACTCACCGCTTCCCCATCCCTCTGAACCAGAAATAGAGACTCCCGACTCCTCCCCAGTCCCCACTACTGGGATTCAGGGCCCCGACATCGAATCTTGAAGCACTGCTTACTTTACTTCCTGTTGTTGTATAGCTTTCTGGGCATTCTAAGTGCTTTGTGTTTTTCTTAAGTGAGATGAATGTGAAAATGCTTTAAAACTGTAAAGCTGTTGAGAAATGTTTGCTTTTTCTTGTTATGGCCGTGTGAGAGTGAAACACAGAACGACATCCCTTCCCCTTGAGAGGGGTTTAGAAGTGAAGTAATTCACTCAGAAGTCTGCTGGTGACTAACAGTGTGACCTTGAGCTAATTTACCCTTCTGAAAGGAAAATCATGGATTTACAGTGCTCAGCACATAGTAGGGGCTAAATCGATGTTTTCTGCATTCTAATAGGAGAACAAAATAGCCTATCTTGAGGATGCTTCTCTGCTGATAGTCAACAAATATTCTGGAAATTCTTTTTAGTGCCTGGTGCATGCGCTGTATTCATAGGGGTGAACAAAACACAGCCTCAACCCTAATGGGAGAGAAGACCGAAACAGGAAAATAAATGAAGAAAATACTGTCCGGGGGTGATAAGTACTAAACACACAAAAAGATGGTCTGATAGGGAGTGGTGGAGTGGGAGGGATGCCACTTGAGGTAGAATGGTCAGAGAAGGCTTCTTTGAAAAGGTAAAGTTTGAACTGAGTCTGGAGAAGGAACCAGCTCTGTAAAAATCTGGGGGAGGAGCCTTTCAGGCGTGGAAAGCAGCATGGGAAAAGGCTCAGAGGTTGGCAGGTTGTAAGAAACAGAAGAGGGAGACCCCTGTGTCCGGAATGTAGTGCTTGGAGGGAGAGTGGTATGAAATAAAGGGGGCGGGGGTTGGACTTTGAACTTGTTGGTGAAGAGTTTGGATTTTATTCCAAGTGGATGAAAAGCTTTTGAAGGGTATTTTGCTGGAACGTGTCCTTATTGACAGGGTTTTTAAAACATCATCTGGCTGCTGTTTGGAGAGTGGGTGGGGGATGAGGGTGGGAGCAGGGAGAACAGTGAGGAGGCAGCTGCAGGGTCCATTTGTGGCCTGGACTCCAGCTTAGTTGTGGAGATGGGAACAGGGTTATATTTTGCTGTCTCTAGCTTTTTCCTCTGATGACTCTCCCTTAGTCCAGATCCTCTGTGGTCATCAGAGTCAGTGTTTTTACCTTTCTGCATTTTGGAATGCAGGAGGAAGGTGTCAGTTTACCATTCTCCTCTGATCTTTTGGTCTGGAGCTGGCTTAGTTTCCGCAGTTTTGTTTTTTCTTTTGAGACGGAGTCTTGCTCTGTCGCCCAGGCTGGAGTACAGTGGCACGATCTCAGCTCACTGCAACCTCTGCCTCCTGGGTTCAAGTAATTCTCCTGCCTCAGCCTCCTGAGTAGCTGGGATTACAGGTGCGCGCCACCATGCCTGGCTAATTTTTGTATTTTTAGTAGAGATAGGGTTTCACCATGTTGGTCAGGCTGGTCTCGAACACCTGACCTCGTGATCTACCTGCCTCGGCCTCCCAAAGTGCTGGGATTATGGGCGTGAGCCATTGCGCCCAGCCATTTCTGCAGTTTTGGCGATTGAATTGACTTTCAAGGGGCTGTGGGAGAGCTCGTCAGCTGACTGCAGAGGACCAATCTCAGTTGTCAGATTTGCTGAAAACAGGCTGTCTTCCTGAGTTTGCTTGAGAGAATGGGAGCTACTGTAACCTACCCTTCTTTTTAGCATCCTCTGGGAGGAAGGTCTTAGTGTGGGGAGGTGAACACTACCACATTCAGTTAGTCTACTTATTCACCTGCCAGTATGCTGGGACCTTGAGAGTCAGAGATGAAAATACACTGTGCCAGCCCTTCAGGAACTCAGAATTGGAAGTGTGGGGTGGGAGTGTGTGTGCGTGAGAGAGAGAGAGAGAGCAGGAAATGATTATAACAGTGCAGAAACATGAGTGTGTACATGGGCTGAGGCTGCAGAGGAGGAGGCACCTGTTTTGGGGGAAAGGATAAAGAAGACTTGGCAGAGGAAGGAGAATGTGAGGTGGGTCAGCAAGGAGTTGGGTGTGATTGGGAAGCAGGGACAGTGTCACCTCTGGAGTCTGTGGGTGGGACAGGAGATAACACTGAGGGTGGCCTGTAGCCTTTGGACCTTGACCTGGAAGTGGTGAGGAGCCCTTAGCTGTCCTTTATTTTTATTTATTTATTCATTTTAAGCAACAGGGTCTCGCTCTGACGCCCAGGCCGAAGTGCAGTGGTGCAATCATAGCTCACTGCAGGCTGCAACTCCTGGGCTCAAATGATCCTCTTACTTTAGCCTCCTGAGTAACTAGGACTTCAGGCATATACCTAGCTAATTCAAAACATTTTTTTTTTTGTCGGGACAAGGTCTCGCTGTGTTGTCCAGGCTGGTCTCAAACTCCTGGCCTCAAGCGATCGTCCCGTATTAGCCTCCCAAAGTGTTGGAAGCAGAGAGTCATCATATCTGCTTGGAATTTTGAAAGAGCACTCCAGCAGCAACTTAAAGGAAGAAGTGTAGACTGACCAGGAAGGGACTGGAGGCAAGAATCCCATACAGGGCAAGGTTAGCATCTTTCGGACCTGGGTTTGAGCCACAGCTTCATCATTTACTAGCTGTGTACCTGAGGGGCAGGTTACTCTGCACCTCAGATTCCTCCTCTACAAATCGGGGTACTAGCATCTGCCTGATTGGATGAAAATATATTATACATGCAAAGCTCTTAGGACAATGACTGCCATATGGTAAGTGACAGATAAATGCTTGTCATTATCATTATTACAAGGAGACTTGCAATTCTTCAGGTGAGAACAAAGGGCCTAGTGTAGAAGCATGGGAAACTGGAAGAGAAATAATACATGTCTGAGACTTTTCTGAAGGAGAATCAAAAGAGACTTGGTGATTTGTTGTAATTGTGGGAGTGGGCAGGACGAAGGAGAGAGGGGAGTGGAGGATGATTCCCCAGTTTATAGGTTGGGCAGCTGGTTGGATGGTGATGGCATTAATGAAGTTGGGAAACAGGAGAGGGAGTGGGTACTTCATAATTGTATAGTCCCTGTAAGTTTGGAAAACCCCTCAGCATCCACTGAGACTGTGAGGTCCACGAGGTAAGATGTGATGGTCACATTCATCACTGTGTCCCCACCACCTGGCACAGTGCTTTGCACGTGGTTAATGGTCAGCATTTGTTAAATGAAAAAAAACAATCTTGTGGATAAGTTCTGTTATTCCCATTGTACAAGAGAGGAAAATGAGGCTCACGAGGGGACGAATTCAACTCAGAGACCAGTTCTTCTGTTGACTGTGGGCATCTTGTGTTGTTTACTCCCATGTTGACCAAGGGTGTCATCATGGCCATCACCATGTTCATTAAACACTCAGTTCATTAAACACCCACCTGTGCAAGGTGTGGTGCTGAGTAGGGGAAAAAGAAGTGAAGGAGAAACAGGCCATTCCCTGCTGGGTGTGTAGCCAAATGTGGATGCTATCTTTGAGGCATACACTTTGGAAAGATGAAACAAACTTTAGAAGCTTTGAAACAGACCTCAGAAGCTTGAGTGGAGTATTTGCAGTGTGTAGGTGTGTCCCAGGTAGTGGTTCCAGTGAGGGGCCTAGAGCAAAATTTGGATTGCATGTTTTTTCCAAATTTCATTTCTTTTTCTTTAG